TCCAATGGAGTCCAATGGAGTCCAATGGAGTCCAATGGAGTCCAGTGGAGTCGTTTGAAATTCTGGAGAGCACTTCACAAGTATATTATAGACATGTAATACTGCTGTATATTGGTTTTAGTTTTCATCACCTGTTACATAGAATTAAACTTATACTGGCTCCACTTTTGAGATGTTCGCACAGTATCTGTGCACCACCCATATACAACACCTTCAATGAATAAAAAAATTTTAAATTCAACAAAATATACCCTTTATTGAAAAAAATCAAACAAATACTATAAAAAAAAAGAAAAAACCATTTATATTATCATTTATTGACCTGTTGCACGCGAAGTAATCGGTCATTTGAAAGTTTACTTTTCTCTTCTGTTAACAACCAACAAGCAGTTTGTTTGTGTAAAAATTTTGTATCATGATTTAATTTCACTTTAAAATAGGTATGTTCAATATGAGGCTCCACTTTATCAGCAACTTTTACTCCAGAGAAGTCTTTCTTTGTAGTATTTATTAAATCTTGAGTGTTATTTTGTTCATCTTCATCAGTGTAATCGTTGTTAATAGAGCTATCATCATTGTCCTCATTCATGCTGAGATCATTTGTTGTGTCATCTCCATCTTCATCATTATCATCGTCACTTTCAAATACTTCATCGTCTATATTGCTTATTTGAGAAGAGTAATTATGTTTTTGTGAATTGGAATTTAATTGTCGAAATAAATATTCACTTAATGGTTTTAATCCAAGAACATGTTTTTTTTCCAATAAGTTCAATATATCTAGACCTTCAAGCATATCAACAGCATGATGATAGGCATCAGTAATAACTCGTTCGATGTCTATTTCATCAATTTCAAGTTGACTGTGTGTAAATGATGATTGACGTTCAACCCGATGTTTATAATGAACCGGAAAGACTAACTTGTCAACTGAACCACTATGTAACTGTTTACATTTAATGTCATTCAATAATGATAATCTTTGGGCACGTCGTAGAAAATCATGTACTGTAAAGTTGACTATGGTTGAATAAATTCCACTTAACGCTCGTGTATTTCTAAAAATTGATTCACAAGCTTGCGAGTTAAAAATAGGAATATTCAATGCTTGTGGTGGTAACTGCTTTTGTTTGACAAGTAAAATTAAATATAATAAATTATGAGCATTTATTTCAACCGATAAATATGCTGGTTGTGTAATAAAATATCTGCTTTTATTATTGTTTCTGGTTTGTGTTAAATTAAATGTTTTAAATTTAATCCAGGTAAACCATAGTCGACAAAAAAACACTACACACCAAGCAGATCGTAGTCCTACAATAAAATCTTATTATATGTGATCTAGCGTGTATAAGTACTCACTTTCAACTATTGTTGTTGTTTTTTCAATATAAGCTACTATAATCATTTTTAACACTTGAAAATAAAGCAAGGTTCCACGAGTATCAGCAGTAGCATTTAAAATATTGAATAGATCATTAGATGTTAATTTCAAACAAGAACTAAAGTTTTGACGATCTTTAGGGTTAATGTCAGATTTTGTTAGACCATGATCAAGTTTAGAATAAGTATCATTTTCAATAATATCATGCAAATGATTGATCGATATTGACTGATTTCCGAGACATAATTCTGCTGTTGCTGATAATAAACGATTACGCCATTTGGTTACCAAATGTGTCGGATCTTGAAAAAATAATAATAATTGTTGTCCACGAAGATAAAACCAAGACCAGTGTGATCTTATTTTTATTTGAAATGCTTGTGGGTGCTGGTGAACTTGAAAATTCGGAAGAGCTCCAAGGAAGCCGCTCATTAAACGCATAGCACGTAGATATTTTGGATCCGCATCTATAAAAAAACGCAGTTATTCTTTAATAAAATTTGAAAAAAAAATTGTCTCACCAGTAGAAAAACCAATGATTCTGATATTTCTTTGTAAGGATTGATTAAATATATACCACCATCTCTGTAATATATCGTTCGCGGTTGCAGTATTGTCAATTCCATATGCTGCTAATAGATAAGGACTTGGTATGCTGCTATTATCTGTGGATTGCACTGGCTGAATCATATGTACATTCAATAACGATGCTTTATCAATTGAATTGAACCATAATTTTAATGCATCAAATGAGTCAGTCTGATAATATGATTTAATTGGCACTCCACGATCAAGTAATGAAGGAAATCCAGTAAATGTATTTGTTGTTGAATCATATTTAATTCTTTTAACTATACCAGTACAATCTTCAGAGCCGAATGCATATTGCACATTAAGACTATCAAAATGTTTTTGAAGTTGATCGAATCTAAATTCTCCTTCACTGATTCTTGAATCTGAACTTGAAATCAATGAATTTAATAAAGATAGATGTGGTAAAGATCCAGGTAAATTTAATCTAAGAAATTCATAGGTCAATTTACCACCTAAAATATACAACGATAAAGCAAAATTCTTAATCGAATTACTATATCGAAAATTATTTTTCGATTTTGTCAAATTATCAGTGATAGTATCAATAAAATGGTTTAAAAATTTATCTTTATTTTCATCAGCTTCATTTTCATTGCTAACTCGTTGATACCAAATAATTAATTTTTTTAACAATGGATATTTATTTATAAAATCAAATGATAAACTGGGATTAGAATCTGCATTACTACTTGTTTTAATTTGTTTTTGTTGCTGTTGCTTTAAAAATTCTAATAAACAATTCAAATTATTTATTAACCCAATCTTCACAATAAATGTTCCATTATCAAGTTGAAAACATGATCTTTCTCTTATCATTAAGAAACTAGATTCCGAACAATTCATATTAAATATTTCAAAGATATTCGGGTTTCGAATAAGAGATTGTGTAGATGTAATTGATTGGAATTTTAGAATATCCACCATTTGTTGTCCAACTAATACTTGAATAAATTCATAAAAATCATCGTTCTTTAAAGAAAAAACATTCTCTGGCAATCTATCATCCATAAGAAGAAAACGATCGATTTTTTATCTAGAAAACCAAATGTATTCAGACATAATAGTTTATAATAAGTTTGGAAACAAAAATCTGACATATTTTTCAAACACTTCCAGCTGATAAACAACTGTGATGAGTCACATATCGGTAATCTGAAGAAAACATCCATCATTTGAAAGAATGGAATGTTACAAAAAATTGAAAAGTACTAGTTACGCTTGTATAGAGAACATCACTTTAGAAGCTATTGGCTCATAATATTCATGAATCATTAAACCTTTCTCGCTTGCTCTCTCTCTCGAGAGAGAGAATTTTATTTATACAAATATAGTTAATATTTAAATATGTTTCAAACAGAAGCTCTTATTGATACATCAATTTTGCCATCTGATACCATGTCATTACGTGACGTTAAATTTTTTGATTTTGTTCGAAAAGAAGCTGGTGATGCTGCTGTTGATCTTTTTGAAATTCAAAGTATCAATTGTGTTAAATCTTTGTTGATGACAGCTGATGTTTATTGTATTATGAATTTGAAAAGCAAAGCTTTAGATTGTTTTAAAAATAAGCATGGTTTTATGCTTGATGATGATATATTCATTATAAAACCTGGTATAAAAGGAAATGTGGACTATCTTATTGATTTATTAAAACAAAAATGTACTGATGATGCAAAGTTAACAAAATCTTCAAAACGTAATCAATCATCACCACCATTAGATAGAACCATAAACACATCCTCAACTACCACAGAATCAACAATGGCGGTTTTATCGAGTAATTCATCAAACATTGTCACATCAAAATCTTTAAACTTATCACTCGATGAACATAAAACTTATATAAATAATACATTGAACAATTGGTGTAAAAATAATGAATCAAGACTTAATTTGTCAAATTTGTCCTTGATTGAAGGTCAACATTACTCTATTTCCATATTAAATGATGCAAGTGGTGTATTAAAAGCTAATATAAAATGTTGTTGTAACAAATGGATATCATTAACAAATAATCGTGGCAAATTTCAACTATCAAACTTTTACAGGCATTTACAAGATTTTCGTAATAATAATACATGTGATAAAATGAAAGAATTAATAAAAAATTGTAAGCTGATTTCATCAATAACTGCAGATAATCAACAATCTTTTACATGTTCAGATACTTTACCAGATCAAGAATCATCATCAGATAATCAACAATCATTTACATCATCAGATACTGCACCAGATCACGAATCATCATCAGATACTACACCAGATCACGAATCATCATCAAATGCGATATTACTTAATTCTACGTCTACCTCTATAACAACCGATGATCATGAAAGTCTTGAACAACCTTCGCCATTATTAAAAAGTAAAAGTAGAGCGAAAAGAAAGCTTCATTCAGTAGAATCATCTTATAATACGAAAGAAGTTGTAAAAAGAACGAGAAGACAATAATATTTACCTTAGGAACATTTTCCTGTTTATACTTCTCGTTTTACTTCTTTCATAGTATATCATACAGTATAGTCTTCTTATGAAGCTGGATTTTTTTAACTTTACAATTTTCTTATTATTTTTAAAAATTTGTCATTCGTTAATTGTTTTCATATTTATATTTTTTTCATATTTTTACACTTTATCAGACGCTATGAAGCATTTACAAAAGATTGTGATGGTAAAAAAAGGAAATTTTTAATCGACAGTTAATGCATAGTCTGTTTTTTATTTCCGATAGCTGAAGGCAATAAGCAGCAGATTTTATCATAGCTTGGATTGCTGGACTTCAGACAAGACTGGAGTCCATTGGAGTCCAATGGAGTCCAATGGAGTCCAATGGAGTCCAATGGAGTC